CCCCGTTGGCACCAACACTGTGCGCACAGAGAAGGCCAGGGCGCCTGGCTTCTCCTCTCTGTCGGGCCAGGGCGCCTGGCCGACATAGACCAGCTACCGATCTCGCTGCGCCTAAGTGCCACACGGCAATCGACCATCGAAGACATCCGCGCCCGCTCCACCGTTACCGACCGAACCGCTCGGAGCGCCGGATCTACCGCTGACTGGTTCCGCCGACTTACCGACCGTCTCTCTGACCCTCGGTAAAGTAACGCTAACACGCGTTGGTCGTCTTACGTTTTCTTGCCTACCTGGCCCGACGAGCATATCCGAGCGCAAGAAAAGCGAACCGTCACATTATTATGTTGATTAGAAATCTCAGTATTAATGATCGTTGCAATGGCACCAGATTAATGGTTATTGTGTAGTGTATTGGGATGTTTGTGTGTATATGAGTAATAACTTATTAAACAAGAAACATTAAAATAACATTTAGAAACCTTAATTTCATGTATAATTTTCACACAATTTTAAATAATTAAAAAAATTCAAAGGCTCCAAAACAATAAATTAAAAGGGAATAATAATAATAACAATTAATAATAATTAAATAATAATAATTAAATAATATAATTTAATAATAATTTTACTAAAAGGAATAATGCTTTACGTTGCTCTTAATTGTTCAGTATTTTCATACGCAATTAACTTCGCGGAAAAGCGACAACAATACATTTCGAAATATGCAAGTATCGATGTTATGCCTTTTTTAAAAAGAATTGTAAAAATGTTTTGGAAATATTAATGCAAATACTTTTTGAGAATTACTCTATCATTTTTTTTAGATTTAATATAATGTATTTATAATAGTTGAAAATCATATATAATTGTTTTTTTTTTAATAATATATTAAAATTATATAAAGTTTTTGTTATTATAATTTATAATATTATAAATAATATTTTAATATATTATTTTTAATATAGTGTATGTTCAATAGTTAAAAATTGTTTATAATTTTTATTTTAAAACAATATTGGAAATTATATAAATTTTTTGTTATATGCATATATGTATACATATACAGGGTGTCCCAGAACTGGCGTACCGCCAGGTATCAGCGTATTCTCCGTGAAATTCTAAGACAAAAAAATTTTTACCAAAACGCGATCCGATGAATAGAATTTGAACGGTAAGCTATTGAAGTTCACAAATGGGCGCGGGTGGTATTCGGGCGGTCAGGGTCGACACGACCGAGACTGGCGTAAGGCACTTCAGACACTTGCATCGTGTCATAACGTGTTTTTTATTACTCTACTTTGCATTTAATTTAATTAATTAGTCAAAAATGTTTAAAATACACGATGAATTTGTTATAATAGTTTAAAAATTGTTAAAAACATGTGCTATTATTTAAAAATAATAAAAAATCTCTCGGTCGTGTCGACCCTGACCGCGCGAATTCCACGCGCGCCCATTTGTGAACTTCAATAGCTTACCGTTCAAATTCTATTCATTGGATCGCGTTTTGGTAAAGAACTTTTCGTCATAAATTTCACGGAGAATACGCTGGTACCTGGCGGTACGCCAGTTCTGGGACACTCTGTATACACAGAGAGTCCAGTAAATCGTCTGCAATACTTCGGGAGGTGATTCGCAACCCAAAAGAAAGAAAATGTTATACATATAAACATAGGTCCGGAAATAAGCCGTTTTCGAGTTATAATCAGTTTTATGTTAAAAAAATTGTAATTTATTTTGCATAATCATAATTATAGTATCAATCATAATTTATAATACTAATCATAATTAGTTAACAATTCATTTTTTTCTGGATTCACCATGTAGAGGCACAGTTAATTTGTTTAGCCTTTCTCTTTTTTAATTTTTTAATTTTTAATTTTTTTTCAATTTTTCGATATTTATAAATACATTATTTTTAAAATAAAGAATAAACATAAACAGCCATTTAAAACGAATTAAATAAGATGTTCAAAATAATCATCTTCAGCACGAATGCTTGTATTATTTCTTTATACTTCTATTTTCCAAAGTATTGTAGGCGATTTACTGGGCACCCTGTATATATATGTATCTATTGTGACGCTGCAGTCCGCTGCATCGGAGCAGCGTCCTGCCGCCGTCACAAGGCGCGGGTTCGCGCCTTTTTGCCGAGCCGGCAACCGCGTTGTAAGAGCGAGACCGAGATCTCCGGGAGGCCCGAATTTAAACCGCGTACTTTTGTTAATTCTTTTTGAACCTCTTATATGTACCGCGGCACCTCACCGGGCAAACGGAGCGTCGGCGGAGAGGATTCAAGGCCACCGACAGCGGAAGGGACTTGGAGTGCAGGCGACCTGGCGCGGAAGCTAAGGGAGTACGCACCGGGCACGCGGCGATCAGGTGACGGAGCGCGCACACGCGGAGCGCATGACAGCGTGCAAGGATACGAGAGCCGCCAGGGGCGCGGCCGGGAAGGCTGGCGCAGGAGCTGAGGCCCGCGAAGGGCGATACGGCCGGCGATTTCCCCAGGGCCCGGGGCCATCGCCGAGAGCTGCCGGGGCGAAATAGCAACCTCGTCCCGGATGTAAGGGCGAAAAACGCGCCCATCCGATGCCACGCCGCCACATCGCGGAAATCGGGCGACCTCGCGAGGGCGCGAGGCGCCCACACGAAAAGTTCACCTAATTACGCCCGTGCCACGACAGGACCCCCGCGGCGCCATGATTGGTCGCGACCGCCTGCGCCGCTACGTTGCGCACCCCCAGGTTGGGGGTGCAGGTATTGATTGCATATCGAACACGATCTACGCCGCTTTTGCGTGCGAATCTTGCGAGCGAGCGGACGTGTCGAGAGAGCGATCGAGCGAGCGAGCGCCAGTCTGAGAGAGATAGAGAAAGACGAGCAGCTGCCGGCCCGGAGAAATCCGCGAGGAACGACGTGGAGATCGTGCCGGTGAGGTGACCCTCTGTTTCTGAGCGTTGTAAATCCACGGGCGGATCGAGGATTCCGCTCGCACTCTGCGGACGGAAACGCTATTTTCATGTTAGTCTCGTCGCGTACGCCCCTTCGACGACGCGTATTTCGTAGTTTCCTTTTGGTTTTGGCGTGTCGGCGCCCGTCCTCAAGTGCGAGAGTTCTTACCGGATCTTGCCGTGAGCTACCGGAAGTGCCGCGTACCGCGTTTCGAGCCACCCAGAGATCGCCATTGCGAGTGTGCCGCAAAGCCCTCGCGCACGAGTGCGCGAGCGTTAACGTAAGTGCGCGAGTACTCACATCGCGAGTACTCCCCGTCGTACTGTCTTGTGGTATTGCGCGCGATTTCGTCGCGTATCGGCGGAAGTAATT